TCTTTAATTATTTATAAATAATTGTTTATAAACAATGTTCCACAGCCGGAAATCGAGCACAAACTATTGTCTCAATATTCTGACATCCTTCCGAACAACTTCCAATAATCTTTTACCATCATATTTTCAGTGCCCGAAACAGGCCTTTTAAAGTGTAATCCGACTGGACTCAAAATATGCTTCAGACCGGTTACAGGTACAAATCAATATTTATCATGGGCCAAAATAACATGTGCTAAAAAATCACAGATACTTGGAACAGGTACGAGCTTGGAACAGTCACACATGGAACCTGTGACTGAAAAATACTGGTTTGTGTCATCCCTACTATGAAGGCTTTCATGGCCTCGCTGAAAGGTTGTGTGGTACTGCGGAACAGGGTTGGCTTGATTTTTTTCAAGTGATTTAAATCGTGATTTTAATCATGATTTAAATCACCTGATTTTTTTGGAAAAAAATCACGATTTAAATCAAAGATCATTTTTTCAAGAAACTTTATATTTCCACTCAAAAAATATAAAACAGACCACAAATAATTCTAAGAAATGAAAATCAAAATAGAAAACGGTACTTGTGAACTTAAAAATTAAACTGTTTTAATGGTAAACTCAATAATACTAAAACGGAAATCACGTCTCTTTCTCTTCATTTTCGTTATAAAGTCTGAAGAGGAACACTAATTTCCCTCCTTTTTCGATTCCCAGTCTGTTCCTGATATCCGAATGAACAAATCCGAATGTGCTGAACATCCTTTCGACAGACGCAGAAGATGCAGTTACACAAAGAAACTGTTTTATAGTGGGCAAGTGTTTCGCAATTTCCGGTTCATCTCTCTATGATCGCCACCACTGAAGTCCGTTCATATTTTTCAGCATCTCAGAAAACATAATTTATTTGAAAGGACTGCGGCGAGCGTTGAATTTAACAACTAGTGGCAACAATCCCGAGTTTCCAGGAAGCTCACTGATAGTCTCCAAAGCCAGATTCTTCTCTTCAGGAGTTAAAGCGTAGTTTTGTTTCTCCGGGCTTAACATGTAAGCAATAAAGTGATAAGGTGTAAGAGCTTGCTTATAGCGATGTTGAAACTTCTGTAGTTTCTCTAAAGATAAATTTCTTCAAACTTATGAAAAGTTTCCACTGCTCTACGGCATCAGATATTGTGGCATTTTTCTTCTGGAGTACATCCAGAGCAACAGCGATAGGCTTCAGAAGGCTCAGGTACTCTTGTGCTGCATGCT